GTTTTAAAATTTTGCAAACAGGTAATTTTTCTCCTTCACTGATGTGCACTGATGAGGCTGCACTGATGGCCACTGATATGCAGCACTGATGGGCATTAATCGGCTGCACTGATGAGGCTGCAATCTTAGGCAGCACTGATGGGTACTGATATGCTGCACCGATGGGCACTGACAAGGAGGCACTGATGAGGCTGCACTGCACAGTGCAAATGGGCACTGATAGGAGGCACCGAAGAGGCTGCACTGATATGCGGCACCAATGGGCACTGATAGGCGGCACTGACTGGCAGTACTGATGGACATTTTGAGACTGCACTGATGGACAATATTGGGGCTGCACTGATGGACAATGTTGGGGCTGCACTGATGGACAATGTTGGAGCTGCACTGATGTACAATGTTGGGGCTGCACTGATGCACAATATTGGGGCTGCACTGATGGACAATGTTGGGGCTGCACTGATGGACAATGCTGGGGCTGCACTGATGTCCTCTTTCACAGGTGCCGGTTACCGGTTGTCCTCTCTCCTAACGCTGTGACAGCATGAGGAAAGTGCCATTGGACACAACTGATCACGTGGAAAAGGACCACTGTGATTGGCCCTTTACCATGATATGTGATCAGGCTCCACCCCTGAACACCTCTCCAGAGTAGTACAGTGTTACTATGGTAACACTGTATTGCTGATGCCACAGTATACTGTATAAGAAAATGTAAACAAAGAAAAAAATATAATAAAGAAAATTAAAATTTAAACATTTTAAAAAATACATTATTTTTCTTTCAGGTAGTTATACTGTATAGTGCTGTCAATGTACACAGTGCTTTATATATACATATTGTACATTCACATCAGTCCCTAACCCTCAAGGGGTGTACAATCTAAGGTCCCTAACTTACATTCATACATACACATACTAGGGACAATTTAGACAGGAGCCAATTAACCTACCAGCATGTCTTTGGAGTGAAACCCATGCAGGCACAGGGAGAACATACAAACTCCAGGCAGGTGGTGCCGTGGGTGGGATTTGAACCAACAACCCCAGTACTGGTAGACAGAAGTGCTAAGTATTTAACCACTGTGCTTTTTTTCTTTTCCATGCTGTCACCAGTCAATGTCCCTGATCTCCGCCACACCAGAAAAAAAAATACTTTGGACTGTCAACTTTCCACAAAGGGGTTATTTGTACTATCCTGGCATTTCCGGGTCTCAGTACATCAGGAGTGATCGATTTTCAGAGTTTTGTGGACTATGTAACCTTCTACAGACTGAATATTTCACACAGATTTGGGTTATTTTCACCAAAGAAATATAGCAGAATACATTTTGGCCTAAATTCATGAAGAAAGATTATTTATTTGCAAATTTGATAACAGAAATAAAGAAAAACATGTTTTTTTTCAAAATGTTTTTTTTAATTTAGCAAAAAATAAAAAAAAAACAGTGCTGATTAACCACTTGCCCTCCAGAAGATTTATCCCCCCCTCCTGACCAGGCCACTTTTTGTGATACGGCGCTGCGTTACTTTAACTGACAATTGCGCGGTCATGCAACGCTGTACATAGATAAAATGTATGTCCTTTATTCCCACAAATAGAGATTTCTTTCGGTGGTATTTGATCGCCTGTGCGTTTTATATTATGTGCGCTATAAACAAAAAACGTCCGACAATTTTGAAAAGAAAACAATATTTTTGACTTTTTGCTATAAAACATATCCAGTAAAAAAAAATTTAAAAATTACATTTCTTCATAAATTTAGGCCAAAATGTATTTCTGCTCCATGTCTTTGCTAAAAAAAAATCCCAATACATGTAAATTAATTGGTTTACGTAAAAGTTATAGGGTCTACAAATGGTGGTATAGATAGTGGAATTTTTATTTTTATTTTTTTATACTAGTAATGGGGGGGCGATCAGCGACTTATAGCGGGACTGCGGCGGGAACTAACTGCCACTGACATCTGAATGACACTGATACAGTGATCAGTGCTAATAAAAAGCACTGACACTGTACTAATGGCACTGGGCAGGAAGGGGTTAAAATCTGGGGGCGATCAAAGGGTTAACTGTGTGCTGTTTAACATTATGTGCCGTGTGTGTTTTACTAGGGAGACATGCTGTGCAAAGAAATACACAGCAGCATGTGCTCGCTGGCAGGAGAGAAACCTGTATTGTTTACACACAGATCTCTCCCCTGTCAGCTTTACACGGCGATCGTCGGGTGCCTGCAGGGAATCTCCGGCCGGGAACCGGGTGATTGACATTCCTAGCCGCCAATGGTGGTGCGGGTAGGACGGTGTACTCCCTACCCTGGAAATGCAAATCACATATATATATATATATATGTGTGATTTTGCGCAGCCCTGCCGCCCTGTAGCAGTAGTTAGAAGGCAGTCAAATATCACCAAAAGAAAGCTCTAGTTGTGTGAAAAAATGATAAGCATTTCATACAGTACAGTGTTGCATGACCGCACAATTGTAATTCAAAGCGTGACAGCGCTGAAAGCTGAAAATTGCCTGGGCAGGAAGGAGGTGAATGTGTTCAGTATTGACCGTGGGTGAACTTAAAGTAGTTCTAAAGGCTCAAGCTTTTTTACCTTCATGTACGACCTTCAAATACAACCTGCATAGGTGTGAACCTGGACTAAAAAAATGCTTGAATCAGGGTTTCAGGTGTTCACATTGAAATCTTTGGGGACAAAAACACTCAATTCTGCCTGAAAAGTAGTTCATGTACTTTTTAAAGTGAGAGGTAGAGATGAGCGAAGAAATGAAAAATTCGAGCAACCTATGACAAAATGGAAACCAGCAGGAGCGTGAGGAGACCTGAAAGTGGCACATGGCAGAGTGGGAGCAATGGGAGGCGGTACAGGGACCCAGGTCACACTGTGGGCCCAGCAGCAGCGTGACCAGGCGGTACGGGGGCCCATGGCCGATATGGGGCTTTGGTGGCACCTATGGAAGGCCTGTAATCTGCCAGCAACCTATGACAAAATGGACAACCGCAGGAGTGTGAGGAGATTTCAAAGTGGCACATGGCAGAGTGGAAGCAATGGGAGGCCGTACAGGGACCCAGGTCACACTGTGGGCTCAGCAGCAGCGTGACCAGGAGGTACGGGGGCCCATGGTCGATATGGGGCCTGGCGGCACCTATGGAAGGCCGCTAATCTGCCAGCAACCTATGACAAAATGGACAACCGCAGGAGTGTGAGGAGATTTCAAAGAGGTACATGGCAGAGTGGAAGCAATGGGAGGGCCGTACAGGGACCCAGGTCACACTGTGGGACCAGCATCAGCGTGTGAACAGGCGGTACGGGGGCCCATGGCCGATTTGACCTCATTCATCCCATAGTCCTGCCGACTCACGAATAGCGTGGCCTCCTCAAAGGGCCTGAGCAAGCGCAGGTGTCACACATGAGCTGACAATGGCTGACATCTAAGTTACACAGGGAGTACCTTTATCCGCTTTTAACATCAGGAAATCTGTGATGGCCTTTAGCTGTTCGTAAAGGCGGTCTAACATATGTAGGGTTGAATTACACCTTGTTGCAACGTCACAGCATGAGGAGTCGGTACGGGGGCCCATGGCAGATTACATGTCTGGCAGCAGCAATGGGAGGCCCGTAATCTGCCAGCACCCTATGTCAAAAAATTTAAACACACCAGCAGTGTGAAGAGACCTGAAAGTGGCACATGGCAGCAGAGTGTGGCGATGGAGACAGCAGCAATGGGAGGCCGTACAGGGACCCATGAGAGACTCTGGACTTGGCAGCAGCATGAGGAGAGGGGTATATAGGGGCCCATGGCAGATTAGGGGCCTGGCAGCAGCTATGTGAGGCCCGTAATCTGCCTGCACCCTATGTCAAAAAATTTAAACACACCAGCAGTGTGAAGAGACCTGAAAGTGGCACATGGCAGCAGAGTGTGGCGATGGAGAGACAGCAGCAATGGGAGGCCGTACAGGGACCCATGAGAGACTCTGGACTTGGCAGCAGCATGAGGGAGGCGGTATATAGGGGCCCATGGCAGATTAGGGGGGCCTGGCAGCAGCTATGTGAGGCCCGTAATCTGCCTGCACCCTATGTCAAAAAATTAAACACACCAGCAGTGTGAAGAGACCTGAAAGTGGCACATGCAGCAGAGTGTGGCGATGGAGACAGCAGCAATGGGAGGCCGTACAGGGACCCCCATGAGAGACTCTGGACTTGGCAGCAGCATGAGGAGGCGGTATATAGGGGCCCATGCAGATTAGGGGCCTGGCAGCAGCTATGTGAGGCCCGTAATCTGCCTGCACCCTATGTCAAAAAAATTAAACACACCCCAGCAGTGTGAAGAGACCTGAAAGTGGCACATGGCAGAGTGTGTGGCGATGGAGACAGCAGCAATGGGAGGCCGTACAGGGACCCATGAGAGACTCTGGACTTGGCAGCAGCATGAGGAGGAGGCGGTATATAGGGGCCCATGGCAGATTAGGGGCCTGGCAGCAGCTATGTGAGGCCCGTAATCTGCCTGCACCCTATGTCAAAAAATTTAAACACACCAGCAGTGTGAAGAGACCTGAAAGTGGCACATGGCAGCAGAGTGTGGCGATGGAGACAGCAGCAATGGGAGGCCGTACAGGGACCCATGAGAGACTCTGGACTTGGCAGCAGCAGCATGAGGAGGCGGTATATAGGGGCCCATGGCAGATTAGGGGGGCCTGGCAGCAGCTATGTGAGGCCCGTAATCTGCCTGCACCCTATGTCAAAAAATTTAAACACACCAGCAGTGTGAAGAGACCTGAAAGTGGCACATGGCAGCAGAGTGTGGCGATGGAGACAGCAGCAATGGGAGGCCGTACAGGGACCCATGAGAGACTCTGGACTTGCAGCAGCATGAGGAGGAGGGTGGTATATAGGGGCCCATGGCAGATTAGGGGCCTGGCAGCAGCTATGTGAGGCCCGTAATCTGCCTGCACCCTATGTCAAAAAAATTTAAACACACCAGCAGTGTGAAGAGACCTGAAAGTGGCACATGGCAGCAGAGTGTGGCGATGGAGACAGCAGCAATGGGAGGCCGTACAGGGACCCATGAGAGACTCTGGACTTGGCAGCAGCATGAGGAGGCGGTATATAGGGGCCCATGGCAGATTAGGGGCCTGGCAGCAGCTATGTGAGGCCCGTAATCTGCCTGCACCCTATGTCAAAAATTTAAACACACACAGCAGTGTGAAGAGACCTGAAAGTGGCACATGGCAGAGAGTGTGGCGATGGAGACAGCAGCAATGGGAGGCCGTACAGGGACCCATGAGAGACTCTGGACTTTGGCAGCAGCATGAGGAGGCGGTATATAGGGGCCCATGGCAGATTAGGGGCCTGGCAGCAGCTATGTGAGGCCCGTAATCTGCCTGCACCCTATGTCAAAAAAAATTTAAACACACCAGCAGTGTGTGAAGAGACCTGAAAGTGGCACATGGCAGCAGAGTGTGGCGATGGAGACAGCAGCAATGGGAGGCCGTACAGGGACCCATGAGAGACTCTGGACTTGGGCAGCAGCATGAGGAGGAGGCGGTATATAGGGGCCCATGGCAGATTAGGGGCCTGGCAGCAGCTATGTGAGGCCCGTAATCTGCCTGCACCCTATGTCAAAAAATTAAACACACACCAGCAGTGAAGAGACCTGAAAGTGGCACATGGCAGCAGAGTGTGGCGATGGAGACAGCAGCAATGGGAGGCCGTACAGGGACCCATGAGAGACTCTGGACTTGGCAGCAGCATGAGGAGGAGGGTATATATAGGGGCCCATGGCAGATTAGGGGCCTGGCAGCAGCTATGTGAGGCCCGTAATCTGCCTGCACCCTATGTCAAAAAATTTAACACACCCAGCAGTGTGAAGAGACCTGAAAGTGGCACATGGCAGCAGAGTGTGGCGATGGAGACAGCAGCAATGGGAGGCCGTACAGGGACCCATGACAGACTCTAGACTTGGCAGCAGCAGCATGAGGAGGCGGTATATAGGGGCCCATGGCAGATTAGGGGCCTGGCAGCAGCTATGTGAGGCCCGTAATCTGCCTGCACCCTATGTCAAAAAATTTAACACACCAGCAGTGTGAGAGAGACTGAAAGTGGCACATGGCAGCAGAGTGTGGCGATGGAGACAGCAGCAATGGGAGGCCGTACAGGGACCCATGAGAGACTCTGGACTTGGGCAGCAGCATGAGGAGGCGGTATATAGGGGCCCATGGCAGATTAGGGGCCTGGCAGCAGCTATGTGAGGCCCGTAATCTGCCTGCACCCTATGTCAAAAAATTAACACACCCAGCAGTGTGAAGAGACCTGAAAGTGGCACATGGCAGCAGAGTGTGGCGATGGAGACAGCAGCAGCAGCAATGGGAGGCCGTACAGGGACCCATGATGAGAGACTCTGGACTTGGGCAGCAGCATGAGGAGAGGCGGGCGGTATATATAGGGGCCCATGGCAGATTAGGGGCCTGGCAGCAGCTATGTGAGGCCCGTAATCTGCCTGCACCCTATGTCAAAAAAAATTAAACACACCAGCAGTGTGAAGAGACCTGAAAGTGGCACATGGCAGCAGAGTGTGGCGATGGAGACAGCAGCAATGGGAGGCCGTACAGGGACCCATGAGAGACTCTGGACTTGGCAGCAGCATGAGGAGGCGGTATATAGGGGCCCATGGCAGATTAGGGGCCTGGCAGCAGCTATGTGAGGCCCGTAATCTGCCTGCACCCTATGTCAAAAAAATTAAAACACACAGCAGTGTGAAGAGACCTGAAAGTGGCACATGGCAGCAGAGTGTGGCGATGGAGACAGCAGCAGCAATGGGAGGCCGTACAGGGACCCATGAGAGACTCTAGACTTGGCAGCAGCATGAGGAGGCGGTATATAGGGGCCCATGGCAGATTAGGGGCCTGGCAGCAGCTATGTGAGGCCCGTAATCTGCCTGCACCCTATGTCAAAAAAAATTTAACACACCAGCAGTGTGAAGAGACCTGAAAGTGGCACATGGCAGCAGAGTGTGGCGATGGAGACAGCAGCAATGGGAGGCCGTACAGGGACCCATGAGAGACTCTGGACTTGGCAGCAGCAGCAGCATGAGGAGGAGGAGGCGGTATATAGGGGCCCATGGCAGATTAGGGGCCTGGCTGGCAGCAGCTATGTGAGGCCCGTAATCTGCCTGCACCCTATGTCAAAAAAATTAAACACACCAGCAGTGTGAAGAGACCTGAAAGTGGCACATGGCAGCAGAGTGTGGCGATGGATGGAGACAGCAGCAATGGGAGGCCGTACAGGGACCCATGAGAGACTCTGGACTTGGCAGCAGCATGAGGAGGGAGGCGGTATATAGGGGCCCATGGCAGATTAGGGGCCTGGCAGCAGCTATGTGAGGGCCCGTAATCTGCCTGCACCCTATGTCAAAAAATTTAAACACACCAGCAGTGTGAAGAGACCTGAAAGTGGCACATGGCAGCAGAGTGTGGCGATGGAGACAGCAGCAATGGGAGGCCGTACAGGGACCCATGAGAGACTCTGGACTTGGCAGCAGCATGAGGAGGCGGTATATAGGGGCCCATGGCAGATTAGGGGCCTGGCAGCAGCTATGTGAGGCCCGTAATCTGCCTGCACCCTATGTCAAAAAATTTAAACACACCAGCAGTGTGAAGAGACCTGAACTGAAAGTGGCACATGGCAGCAGAGTGTGGCGATGGAGACAGCAGCAATGGGAGGCCGTACAGGGACCCATTGAGAGACTCTGGACTTGGCAGCAGCATGAGGAGGCGGTATATAGGGGCCCATGGCAGATTAGGGGCCTGGCAGCAGCTATGTGAGGCCCGTAATCTGCCTGCACCCTATGTCAAAAAAATTAAACACACCAGCAGTGTGAAGAGACCTGAAAGTGGCACATGGCAGCAGAGTGTGGCGATGGAGACAGCAGCAATGGGAGGCCGTACAGGGACCCATGAGAGACTCTAGACTTGGCAGCAGCATGAGGAGGCGGTATATAGGGGCCCATGGCAGATTAGGGGCCTGGCAGCAGCTATGTGAGGCCCGTAATCTGCCTGCACCCTATGTCAAAAAATTTAACACACCAGCAGTGTGAAGAGACCTGAAAGTGGCACATGGCAGCAGAGTGTGGCGATGGAGACAGCAGCAATGGGAGGCCGTACAGGGACCCATGAGAGACTCTGGACTTGGCAGCAGCATGAGGAGGCGGTATATAGGGGCCCATGGCATTAGGGGCCTGGCAGCAGCTATGTGAGGCCCGTAATCTGCCTGCACCCTATGTCAAAAAATTTAAACACACCAGCAGTGTGAAGAGACCTGAAAGTGGCACATGGCAGCAGAGTGTGGCGATGGAGACAGCAGCAATGGGAGGCCGTACAGGGACCCATGAGAGACTCTGGACCTAGCAGCAGCAGCATGAGGAGGCGGTATATAGGGGCCTATGGCAGATTAGGGGCCTGGCAGCAGCTATAGGAGGCCCGTAATCTGCCAGCACCCTATGTCAAAAAAATTAAACACACCAGCAGTGTGAGGAGACCTGAAAGTGGCACATGTTTGAGGCATGATTCATGGCGGATTTAGTCAGTTGTGTCAGGAACTGGTGGTTTGAAATCCAGACTAATCCACGCCTGATTCATTTTCACAAACGTGAGTCTCTCCACACTTTGGGTGGACAGTCGTGTCCTCCGCGGAGTACACAATACCTCCTGCCGCACTAAAAACACGCGCTCCGATGCCACGCTACTGGCCGGGCATGACAGCCTTTCAAGGGCAAATTCA